GGGTTGTGCCACAGGCTGGGCCACAGCACACACAGAGATGTGGAGGTGGGAGTGACTAACAGGCTCCCCTGGAGGTCGGCAGGAAGCAGAGAGTGAGTTGGAAGGTTAGATGGGAGGGGCTTGAAGGCCAGGATCAAGAGTTTTGACCTGATTTTTACTAAACGAGGCCCTCCAATGAATTTTTAGCAGAATCTAGGCCCTCTTCTCCATTGCTCCTGCTGTCACCCTGACCTTTTAACCCGTTGCCGTGAAGTCAATTCTGACTCATAGCGACCCTACAGGGCAAAGTAGAACTGCCCCATAGGGTTTCCAAGGCTATAATCTTCGTGGGAGCACGCTGCCACATCTTTCTCCTGTGGAGTGGCCAGTGAGTTCAAACCACCAACCTTTTGGTTAGCAGCCAAGCGCTTAACCACTGAGCCACCAGGGCTCCTTGCCACCTTGACCAGGCCCTCCTAATTTCTCACATCCTAACTGGTCTCCCTGCCTCCAGTCTTGTCCCTTCCCAGCCATACTCTACATAGGCTCGCTACCTAGGAGCTTTCTAAAATGCAAACCTGATTGTGTCCTTCCCCTTTTAAAAGCCCTTTGTGGCTCCCTATTGCCCACAAGACAAGGTTCTGGTTTATGTGGCTCTCTGTGGCCTGGCCCTGCCTCCTTCTGCAGCCACACCCCACTGTGCCTCCGCCCTCACCAGGCCCCCTCGTTTGCTGAGCAGCCTGCTGTTGCATTACTTACTCACAGCCTTTGCCCAGGCTTCTCCTTCCCTCCCACTCGCCTTCTCTGCCTGGTGAACTATTCGTCCTTCGAGACTCAGTGCAAATTTCTTGTTCAGAGGAGCCTTCCCTGGCCCTTTGGAGGCCACTATTATGCTTTGAATGTGTTTCTGTGTTGCACTCACGGGGTGTTGCATTTTATCTATTCCCATGTTTAAGTGTTCATCTTGCAATGGGCACCGACCTAAGCCTGGTACACACGTTATCCTGTGTTCTTCTCACAGCAGCCACATGAGGTACGTTCTGTTATAGCCCCCACCGCCAGAGCAGGAAGCTGAGGCTCAGAGAAGTGACGTGACCTGCCTAAGGCAGGCCACTGGAGGGGGAGAGAGTTGGGATTTGAACCCAGATTTGTTTGACTCTACTTCCACACCCTTCAGTCTCCTGCTTTGTGGACACTGCTGTATCCCCTAGATCCTGAGGGTCTACTGTTGGCCCTCAGAAAATGGGGTGTGTGAGGGACTAAACAAAGGGCTGGATGACAGGATGTCTGTGGTGTGGGCAGGATGGGGAAATGGAGGAAGGCTGGAGTGAGGAAGGGCTGGGTTTAACCTGGAGTTGAAGTGATGAGAGACTATCAGCCCAGCTCCTCATGGCTAAGGGTTTCTTTTCCACCTTCCACTCCAAGTAGCAGCCTCTGGCCACCTGGGGACAAGCCTGTGGGACTCCAGGCAGAGCAGGCGACATGGTGACAAAGACCATGGCAACCTGCCTCCTCCCTGGGGCCTAGAGGAGTGGGAGGACCTGAGAGCACAGGGCGCACACTGAGGCTTCTGAGTAGGGATCCTGGAGAGGTGGCTCCCTCTGGGCCTGGGTGGCTTCTGCTCTCCCACAAGGGACCCTGCCTGTGCAGTCCCATCCCAGCAGGGGAAATGCCACTTCCACCTCTCTCCCAGATGAATGGCTGTCTCTGGCCTCCCAGGAGACTGCCGGCTCCATCCAGGTCCAAATGCCACCCCCTTCCCACCCCTGAGCCAGGGAGGAAGGAAGCGGTGTCCGGAGAACAGCAGGGAACTCAAGAGGAGGGAGGCGTGGGGTTGCCAGGCAAGGTAGTAGCAGGGACAGCAGGGACAAAGCCCTCATTGTACCTAGGCCACACGTAACTCCAAGGCAGACCAGGCATCCTGCCTGCCTCCCAGGACCCAGGCCTAGAATTCCACCTGGACTTTTCTGGCTCCTTAGCCATGCTCATCCAAGCTGGCTTGGAATAGAGAGGCCAGCCTCTGCTACGAACCCTGTGTCTGCTGTGAAGTCCTCCCAAAGCCAGCAGACAGAGGGATGATGATGGGAGGAAGGCCGGTGGAGCCAGGCTGACTTGGCTCCAGGGTCTGTAGACCTGCAGCTCTGTGGTTTGGGGCCCAAATGTGATAACACTGCCTGCCTTTAAAGGATTGTGACTTGAAATAATGGGGCAACATTCACAAAAGCACTTAGAATGGTCACCTGGCCACAGAATCAGGGATAGGTCATCCCTGAAGGCCTTGCTCACTATGAGGAAACTATCACCCCCCACACACCTGCTCCTGCTAAAGTCTGCAGAGATGCAGAACACTGTTGCCCCCCAAAGTTCTCCCAGCCCCCATCCCTGGGTCCTCCTCAGGGGGCTGGCCCTATGGTTCCAGGAGCCCCTGCCTGGATGATTGGGGCATGATGAGTGGGAAGCGTCCCCAAGCTGGGGCGAGCAGCTCGGGTAACGGGTGTGGTGATGGCAGCTCCTGCAGCCCGGCACCCGACACCTCTGGGCAGACAAAGCTGGCTGTTGTCAGACCCTCCAGGGGAACAGGCCGTGTTCTGTATCACAGCCAGGAAACAGGCCACCTGAGTAGCTGACTTTATCTGCTCAGGAGGCAGCCCCCCGCTGGTCAGGATGACCAAGCTCCCAAGAGGCCCTGACATGGGAAGGGGGTGACTCCTCAGGCCGGGGACTCCAGTGTTTGAGATCCAGCTCCTTAGCAACTAGGTAACCCCATTCAGCTGTTGGCCCTGCCGCACACTGGTGGTATGACTTGGGCAAGTCCCTTTCCTCTCAGAGGCTCGGGTTCCTCATCTGTAAAATGGGACTAATCACAGCACTTCCTCGTAGGGTTGTTGGGAGGAATCAATGACATAACGTACGTAACGTGCATAGCATAGGGTCTGGCACATAGCAGTGCTCGGTGAACGCTTCTCTCCCAGCATGGGGGGAGGTCCAGTACCCAGTGTCCTTGGGTATGTCTCCTCTCCTGTAACCCGGTCTACTGTCCTCAGTCTTTGCTCTCAGCTTGGAAGGAGGGAGCTGGGGTCCCTGGAGCTGAGCATGTTGGCTGCAGAGAGCCCAGGCCCCTCCACCACAAACTCAGGGAGCTCTGGGCTGATGCTGAACCATCCGTCTGCAGCCAGTGCAGGCCTCCTCCCCACAATAGCCAGAACCCAGCCCAGCATGGGGCCTGTCCCCTCCTTCAGCTCATTAGGGCTGCTCTTTGAACCCACCCTCTAGCCAGGGAAGGGGCCTAAGCACTCCTGGGCAGGAGACTGAGGGCCTGAGCCTGCCCACCCACCTCTCAAGAGGGCTTGGAATGGGTCTTTCTGGGCCTGAGCACTTCCTATTGGGTCCAACACACCAGGACTCCCCCCCCCCGGGTCGGGGGGCTTCCCATGCCCATTCTCCCAGCCCTTATTTGCCTTGAGCCTGTGCCTCTGAGTCTTCGGTGTATGCAGAATTAGCACGTGCATTGGACGGATGGGTGTGGGCATGCCCGTGTGCAGCATGTGTGCAAGGGTCCAGCTGCATGTCCTGCACCCGTGGGCGGGCCGCCTGAGCATGGTCACTGAGACATGAGTGCAACTTGGCATGGCAGGGACATCATACCTTTTCATGTTCGTGTATATCCATGTCTTTCTACACGTGCGCTGGTTTGTTGGTCTGTCTTGTCTCCCTTGTAGACGGGAAGCCCCGAGCCACGCGCCAACGGGCGCTCTGGGAAGGTGACGGTCGGCGAGACTAGCCCAGCCTAATTTGGGTTTCCTGGTCCTGCTCCAGGAGTCCTCCAGCCTGCATCCCTCACCGAGGAGGGAGGACTGACCAGCGCGAGGGGTTGGGGGCGAGTGTCAGGGCCCCGGGAGGAAAGGCCAGGCCCAGCTCATAGTGTAGAGGACTTAGTGCTGAGCTGGCAGTCACCCCAATGCCCAGGTGACCTTGGGCAAGGCTTTCACTCTCTCTGGGGTCTATTGACGCATCTGGAGAACATGGTGTTGGACTGATGATTTCTGGCCACTCCTGAGGCACTCACGAGCAGGGATTTTAGGTTGGGTGGCCCGAGGCCGTGCACCAGCCCCACTAAATTCTTTGGTGGAGGCAGCTGTGGCCAGAGCAGGCCTGCCAGGCACGCGCTGGGTCCTGGGTGCCCTTGCTGAAGGGTGAGAGGAGAAGCCATGCCAGGCAGCGGCCCCAGCGAGAGGATGACGTGGCCCAGCCCGGCCCTTCCCACGGCCCCCCCAACCCGCCCTCTCTCCTCAGCCCCCGGGACACCGCCCATCCCGCCCCTCACGCGAACCCACAGCCTCATGGCCATGTCCCTGACAGGGAGTAGACGGGCCTCCGCGGGATCCCGCAGGTGAGTCTCCCCCTTACCCAGAGCCTTGGCCTCAGGGTGGGAGGAGGGGAGCCTGTGTCCCTGCTCTGCCATAGACATGCAGCGTGCCTTTGAGCAAGCTGTTGCCTCAGCTTTCCCCATCTCTAAAATGGGCTTGACAGCACTCACCTCCTCCTGGAGCTGTTTAAGGGCTCAAGTGAAACCATGGCTATGAAAGTTCTCTGAGGGCTTAAACCATGGTTTCCTACTAATCCTGTCCTCAATACTGTGTTGATTAGCACAATGACTGGAAGGAAGCCATGCAGTCTCCACGCAGGCTCACTTGGCCTCCCTCAACTCCCCCGCCACCACCACCACCATAGGCCCCTCTTTCTGTCCCCATTCCTATCTGCCACACTCTTCCTCACCTGTCACTCCTGCTCCAAAGGTGCTCTGACTCTGACCCGGTCTGTGCATGGGGGACCCCTGGAAGTCGAGGGCCTTTGGTCAGGGCAGATAGGAGCCCCTCCCTTGGCCCAGCCCTACCCCAGCCCCCATTCTTGTCCCTGGGGGGCGAGGAGGACCTGCCTCTTCCAGTTTTCCATCTTGATTGGCACTGTCTGTTCTGTCACCCCTATCTGTGCACCCCCCTCCTCCCTGCTTCTCTCCCCTGCGGTGACACTGAAGTGGGGGCCCTCTGGGCCGCAGCGGCCTGGCGGTGTTCGCCCAGTGTCCGCAGCTGCCCACCAGCCAGAATGAGCACCTGCCTCTTCTTCCCGCCTCCAGGCGCACCTCTCCGCCCGTGAGCGTGCGGGACGCCTACGGCACCTCCTCCCTCAGCAGCAGCAGCAACTCTGGTTCCTGCAAGGGCAGCGACAGCAGCCCCACACCAAGGTAATCAGCCCCGCCCCTCTGGGTGAGGCCAGTCACACCTGGGGGCTAAGGGGAAGAGAGTCATACCTCCTTCCCTCCATCAGATGCACAGTGGGAGATTCTATCCCCACCTTCTCTTCAATAGTGTACAATTTACAAATACAGTTTTCCTCAGTAAGCATTAGCCAGCTCCCATAAAATTTTTAAAGCTGCCTGCAAATTGGCTGCTTCAGCAGATAGGCCTCCCCAGGACCTGTCTTTTCTATGCCCATAAAACACCATTGTCCCTCCCTTGACTGGAGCCCCCACCCCCTAAAGCAGCAGAGGTGGGTGGCACCAAGGCCCTTTGAGTCTCTAATTGTGCGAGAACATGCCCAGGTTTTTAAGTCAACATCCAAGGAAATTTCTCTGGGAATGTAACAGCCAGGTGCTGTGAGTTGAGGCAGCTGGGCTGTGGCTGATAGGTGGCACTGGGGTGATCTCCTTACTTGTGAGACTCAAAGGCCAAAGCCTTAGCCCTCTCTCCTCCCCTGGCAGTGACCACCCTCTGCAGGGAGGAAGCTCTGGATGTGCTGCACCCCCCACATCTATGCCACCCCGTGCTGGGGAGGTCTTTGGCTGCGGGGGACAGTGTACGCCCAGCCTGCGGCCACCTCAGGGAGACAGCTGTTAGCGGGTCAATGCCCAGAGCAAGCAGGTGTTCACCTGTGTGCTAGTGCAAGGGGAGTGGTCATGTGTGCCCCCAGTGCATGTGTGTGCATGTGCAGATGGAAGGGTCTGCATGCATTTGTGCAAATGTGTGCAGGGGCTGGTATCCCAGTATGTGCGAGTGTCCATGAGGGTGGCAGTGGGATGTGTGGGCCTGGGCATGTATACATGTATGTGGGCCTGCAGGTGCAGATGGAGGGGGAATCCATGTACTCAGATGTGCACTCCAAGTAAGTGTGCAGACATGTAGTGCACACCCACGCGTATATGAGGATGGGTGAGGAGTGTGTCAGAGCACACACGAATCTGCTCTCTCCCTGGTCCTCCGACCAGCGCAGGGCATGAGGGCTCTCCACTAGGGAGAGGAGAGCTTCCCTCCCCCCGCCCACCCTGTGAGGTGTTTCCTCCTCCACAGTGGGATCTGGGGGAGTCCTTTGCCACCACGAAGATCACGCCCTGGGAGAATTACACAGCAGGGGAGCACCCTTCCCAGTCCATCCTCCAGCCCCAAACTCCTCCGGGTTGAGAGGCTGGAAGCCTGGGTTCTGCAATGCACCACTCGCCTGTCTGTGGGACATTAGGCAAGAGTTAACCTCTCCGAACTCGTGGAGCACCTCAGAAAGCTGAAGACAGTCCTTACTCTCAGGGCTGCTGGAAGGATTGAAGGAGAACGCGTCGGCAGAGCACCTGGCATGGAGCCAGGATTGTACACATGTTCTGTCTCCCCACCCCTAGTTAGAGGAGGTCTGAGCCCCCACACACACTGTGGGTCTTCATGTATCCATCTGGTGACCATAGGACAAGGACAGATAGGCTGGGGTCCCTGAGCTCTTCCTCCCTCCGCACTGATGGGCATACTCTTGCAGGCGCTCCATGAAGTACACGCTGTGCAGTGACAACCATGGCATCAAGCCCCCGACCCCAGAGCAGTACCTGACCCCGCTGCAGCAGAAGGAGGTGTGCATCCGGCACCTGAAGGCCCGGCTGAAAGACACACAGGACCGGCTCCAGGACCGGTGAGCGAGTCGCCAGAGGCAGCCCTGGGGACAGGCTGCTGCCCCCATACTCTGAGCAACCACAGCCCTGAGACATCTCAGAGGAAGGAGTGGCAGGGGCTTCCCAGGATCCACCCCTTCCTCTTCTTCACAGCAAAGCCCTGTTTGAGCCCATTTCCAGAGCCCCCACCCACTCTGTCTTCTCCTCAGCTGTTCTCCGTGACTGCTCAGGTGGCTGCGTGGGACGAGGCAGGAGCAGGTTATACCATGAGGTCCTGTCTGGCCTCCCAGAAGGCATTGTTCTCCCAGTTTAGCCTGGCAGCCCCTTTAGACCACTCCTTGTCTCCTGGCTCCTTTCTACCTGGGGAGTTGAGCACAGGGGCTTCTTTCTGGCTTACCTGTCTCCGTGGAGAGAAGCAACCATTCATCCCTCCCATTGTTTCCTCACAGTGAGTCACTGGGGGCTCTTGGCCCACCAGTTCAGGCCCCAGAAGCCTTCCTCCCCCTCTACTTCCTGTTTATAGATGATGTTAAGATCATGTGAAACATTTTGCTGAGCTCCTCCCTGGCCTGGGGTCTCCCAGGAGCCCCTGGGGACTCACCTGAGCTCTCACTCTCAGGACCAGGAGGGGCGCTGAACCCTCACCCTCCCAGCCCCACCCTTCCAGGCTGATGCCTTCATCTTTGTCATCGAAGCTTCGGGTCTGCCCTCTGATCTCTTCCATCATCTTAGCTATCCTTCTCTGGACTGTGTGGATTCAAACGTGTAGCCTGTTGTGAGCTTTGTCCAGCACTGGAGGTCAAGGCCTGCCACCATGGCCGCAGCTTTCTTGACAAGAGCTCTCCCAAGTAGCCAGTTCGGTTTAGATTTGTTGCGGTTTTGAACTGAGGGGATTGCAGGTGGTATTCTCTGGGCCTAATCTGTAGAGCGAGGGTTTCTATTTTTGTTTCCAACCATCTTCCCAGTGATGCCCAGTGTCTGCTTGGCCGTTTGTACTAATGTCTTTATCCCCCGGCGTCCTTTCTAGGACCAGCCCCGTAGCTCAGAGCTGACCATCCTCTATGTGTGGTTTGGGCACGTGCTCTGCTGTGACCCTAAACTCCCTGGCCCCTCCTGTTACTCCTGATACTCTTGCAGGAACCTGTGGCAGCTCTTTACTTGCTAGAATTTAATGTCTTTCTTGTCACACTCCTCACACTCCCTATATACTTAGTTTGATACCCATAATTCCCACAGTAGCTTCGCATCTCCTTCTCTAAGATGCCACCTGCTTTTACGTCCCTACTCCCTGAGATGCCCTTCCCCCATCTTGCCTCCTTGGCAAACTCATCCTCCAAGACCCAGTTCAAGTGTAATGTCTTTCCTATCACTTTTCATATTGTTCCTTCCTCTTCAAACAGAGTGTTGGGATTTTAGAAGCTCAACATATCATACCCCTTTCTCCCTAACCTCCTCTACCCCCAACACCAAGTTGAGAGCCAGTTAAAGGAAAGACACAATCAGGTAAATAGATGCAATTTCAACTCTACAACTGATAAAGTGAGCGAGCGTTGACGGCTCAGTGGTAGAGTTCTCGCCCTCCATGTTGGAGACCTGGGTTGATTCCCAGTCAATGCGCCTCAACCATAGCCACCACCTGTCTGTCGGTGGAGGCCTATGTATTGCTGCGATGCTGAACAGGTTCCAGCAGAGCTTCCAGACTAAGATGGACTAGGAAGAAAGGCCTGGTGATCTACTTCCAACAATCAGCCAGTGAAAACCCTATGGATCCCAATGTGTATAGGGTTGCCATGAGTTGGGAGCCGACTCAGTGGCAGCTAACAACAACACTGATAAGGCTATACCGGAGGATGTTGGCATAGGTGTACGTGTGACCAAATTTACTTGTCGCCCTGCAACCCACTCAAATATAGATGCTGGGCTGGGACAGACACAGGGCTGGGAAGCCATAGCTCCCTGGGGACTGGCTGCCTCTAAGGAAAGAGGGGCAGGGGACCAGCCCAGGTGGTCATACTGAGCAGGACAAGTCCCTTCTTCCAAATTCTTTATCCCAAACTGAGGTGTGAGTGAGAAGCAGGGAGAAAGATCAGGATGGTTACCCTAGAGTGAACCCCTACCCGGAGTCAGAGGAGGACCGGGCAACAAGCATTCCCCCATCGTGTCGCAGCATCTCTGTTGGAACATCTGTTATTGCCACTCTGAGCACCTCCGATTCGTTGCTGCCATCCACTTCCTTTGCTGAGTTGTTCCTGTTGGGAGGTCAGTCCCCTTCCATGTGTTGCTGCTGGCTGACCATTCTGGCCATTGCAGCCCCTCCTTCCCAGTCCCGTCAGCATACTGTATAATGAGATTCTTGGGCCCGTTTCCTGAATTGAATTTCACATCTGACTTTGAAAAGTACCTGGTGCCTGATCTGGGACAGTTACTCTGCTGGGCTCATGAACCCCAAGGGTGACAGTCATGTCATTTCCAGATGTCATTTACACGAATGTAGGGTTTGGGCTGAGCAGCCACATGGGGCCGTAGCAGTCAGCAGTGTGTTGGAGGCGGAATATCCAGAGAGGATCTTAGTCTTGGGAACGATTTTCCTCCTTTCTTCCTACTTCTATTAAGTCACTGTTGACTCACCCTGGTTTACCTCTAGACTTTCTGGAATGTTGTTCTCTCTCTCTTCCCTCCCCTCCAGCCCCCAAATTCCTCTACAACTCAGGGATTTACAAAAGCCTGAGAGTTTCTGGACAAGAGTCTTCCAATTGTCTTGTTTGCCTGGCGCTTGCCTCTTCTCTCAGGAGTAGCTCTGTGACTTTTTCATCTATCTTTTCAGCCTTTCCTCTTTACAGTAGACACGAAGAAGAAACTTCTAGCATGGATAAAATAGTCACCCTGCTCTCCTCTCTCTCTTTTGTTTCACCTGCCAGTCCTCATCCCACTGCTTGAAGATGTAAAATTATCACCCCCTCTACACATGTACTTCGCAGGCCTTAATTTCCCTCTCGCTCATAAAGACAAAGCAGTCCACTGTCCTCCCCCCAGGGACCGCAGCCAAATAGCGCTCGCTCCATTTAATATTTTCACCACCTGTTTTAGTAGGAGTCACGTCCCTTTCTATAGAGCAGAGACTTTCTGTTTAGTTTTTGTTGTTTTACATGAAGTTTTAAAACAGAGATGTACTAGGTTTCCATAGCTGTAGCACGTGTACATTAAGAATCTTCCTTGTCTACTCTCTTCTCTAGATGATGGATCTAGATGTCAAAAGTCATCTACATTTCAGCCTCTAGAGGGTGGGGATGTGGGTGGTGTCTCCTGTTGACGATGCTTTTCTCTCCCAGGAGGAGACCTCCCCTGTCATCACCCCAGGTCCGCCCTCCACCCCTCACTCATTCCTCTCTATGGAGGGAGGACCCGGCTGGTGCCTTGGGGAGAAGGAACGAAGCACTGAGCCCTTCCTTTTGTTCTCTAGTGCTGAGCTGCAGCAGCACAGGGCACCTGTCCTTGGTGACACTGTCCGCTCCTCTTTCTGTCCCCGGCCTCTCCTTGCTGGCCATGATGGGCCAGGCAGGCAGGCAGTGAGAGTGCACGTGTCTGTCTGCTCACAGGGACACAGAGATCGACGACCTGAAGACGCAGCTGTCACGCATGCAAGAGGACTGGATCGAGGAGGAGTGCCACCGCGTGGAGGCCCAGCTGGCCCTGAAGGAGGCCCGCAAAGAGATCAAGCAGCTCAAGCAGGTCATCGACACGGTCAAGAACAACCTCATTGACAAGGACAAGGGGCTGCAGAAGTACTTCGTGGACATCAACATCCAGAACAAGAAGCTGGAGACGCTGCTGCACAGCATGGAGGTGGCCCAGAATGGCATGGCCAAGGAGGACGGCACCGGGGAGTCGGCCGGTGGGTCACCCGCCCGCTCCCTCACCCGCAGCTCCACCTACACCAAGCTGAGTGACCCAGCCGTCTGCGGTGATCACCCACCCGACGATCCCCCCAGTGCCTCCGCTGAGGATGGGGTTGACAGTGGCTTTGTGGTGGCCGATGACACACTGAGCCGGACGGATGCACTGGAGGCCAGCAGCCTGCTGTCATCGGGGGTGGACTGTGGCCCCGAGGAGGCCTCACTGCACAGCTCCTTCAGCCTGGGCCCCCGCTTCCCTGCCAGTAACACCTACGAGAAGCTGCTGTGTGGCATGGAGGCCGGCGTGCAGGCCAGCTGCATGCAGGAGCGCGCCATCCAGACAGACTTCATGCAGTACCAGCCTGACCTGGACACCATCCTGGAGAAAGTGACCAATGCCCAGGTCTGTGGGACAGTCCCTGAGCCTGGTGACAGGCGCTCAGAGCTGGACCCCTACCCCCTGGGGCCGAGGGACCCCAACTCAGCAGTGGTGGTGACAGTGGGTGACGAGCTTGAGGTCCCAGAGCCCATCACCCATGGGCCTGCCACACACCGACCTGGTGCCAACCCCAACCCCGGCCTGTCAGTGAGCGTGGCGTGCCCCATGGAGGAGGAGGAGGAGGAGGCGGCAGCTGCAGCCGAGAAGGAGCCCAAGAGCTACTGGAGCCGCCACTACATCGTGGATCTGCTGGCCGTGGTGGTGCCGGCCGTGCCCACGGTGGCCTGGCTCTGCCGCTCCCAGCGGCGCCAGGGCCAGCCCGTCTACAACATCAGCTCCCTGCTGCGGGGCTGCTGCACCGTGGCCTTGCACTCCATCCGACGGATCAGCTGCCGCTCGCTGAGCCAGTCGGGGCCAAGCGGGGCGGGCGGCTCCCAGCTCTGAGGAGGCCCCACCCGGCCAGTGGCTCCTGCAGCCTGACCACTGATTGTAGGGGTGCCATTCTCCCTCTCACACGCACCCCTGGGCATCATCTTATTTATTTAGTTTTGGGTTTAGAACTCTGTTTTCAGAATGTAGACCAAGCATCAGGGTGCTGGGAGTAAAGGTTGGGGAAAGGAATCCCAAAACTTAGGCAAGAGGAAGGGGAAGGGAGAGCAGAGGGCAGGGAGCCGGCACATTGACTGCACCAGCCGCAGAGAGGTGAGGTGGTGAGGCGCCCCCGCCGGCCCTCTGCCCGCCTGGCCCTTCCAATACGCAAACCTGCTCAGGAAGTCTCTGGCTGTACTTATCTGGGGAGGCTGGGCTGGAGTCGCCAGGGAGCCCCTCATCGTCTGTCCCATTCCCCACTCACTCCATGCCTTCTCTCCAAGTCACCCTTGCCCTCAGCCCAGGTTTCGGGGCCAGTATTATCTTCTGAGATGGAGCGAACTGTGGCCTGCAGTGCAGGCAGCCGACCTGAAGACTCAGCGTGAAGTCTGGACCTGCTGGGCCTAGGGCTCCAGCCTCCCCAGGCTGCTCCCCACTTTGGGATTCAAAGACACAGTCAAGGCCACGGGCTGGAGCAAGGATGGTGGTGGGGCAGGAGGGGCAGAGGGCAGTGTGAGTCTGTGTCTGTCTCTTCATCCCAGGCCTTCCCCATAACCCATTTTCCTCCTGGCACTTCTGGGTATGTCTGATATAGAGCGGCCAGACAAGCCAGGGCTGGGGCGGGAACACTTGCCTAAGCTAAGCCTGAGCTCCAGTCTGGAGGATCCACCAGGACAAGGAGAGGAGACGGGCTGGGCACTTGGGGCTTCCCTAGCCTTCTGAGATGAGCCACTGCAATGGGGTCGCGGGGCTGGACTCAGGAGGCCTCAGCTTGTTTGAAAAGCCAGAGGCCATAGCCCTGGGAGGCTGCCCTGAGCTTCTCAGGGGCCTCGGGCCCCACTTCTGCTTTGCACTATGTTCACTTTGGGGCTTGGGTCTTCCCCATCCCAGGGTCTCTGGTGAGGTGGTCACTTGCTTTCTGGGTGAGGGTTCCTAGGTCTGTATACCTCTGGGGGATTCTGGCAGGATGACTCACAAGAGGGGATACTGAAGCCACGGTGACCCTCCCAGCCAAAGCAGGGTGCCCTGGGATGCGTTCCCCAGGAGCTGGGGACAGGAGACAGGAGCCCTGCAGCCCTGCCTGGCTCCCAGCCCAAGCCCCGTCTACCTGGAAGGTTCCCTGTCACCACCTGCTACCCCGGGACCACACCTGGGTCCTTCAGCAAAGCTGCTGGCATTTGAAGTTCATTACCATTATTATTTTATAGGAAACCCACTCCTCTCCACCCTCAGGGGTCACACCCATCTGGTCATCCCATCCACATTCAGAGGTTGTGGCCCCACATTTGGGGTGGGTTGGTGGGACCCTGTGTCTTACCCCTCTGGCCTAGGGGTCACTCCGGTTTTCTGCCACGGTTGCTTGCCCTCACCTCGCTGCTCTGCCAGGCATTACCTGACTCTTGGGCCCTGCCCTCGTCCTCTATGCCCTTCCGCTTGAGGGAGCACCTGCATGCGCTGGAATGGGCATCCGCTCAGCCATTGGGGCAGAGCGCCCCACCTGCCACGTGCTTTGTGCCTCCAAAGCCCCCCCTCAGTCAGGGCCTCAGACTCACCATCCTTTGTGGGGCACCCCCACACCTCAACCTGGCAATGCCTAGGGCTGGCTGGAGCTGTCCCACGGGACACTGGGGTCATGACCTGGAGGGGTCAGTGGACAAAACCCAATCCAAAGCAGAGCTGGGACTGGCACGGACCCAGCCTCCTGTGCCGTGAATTCATGAAACTGCGTAGTGTCTCATTAGAAATAATTCAAAGCTTTGCTGAGAAAATAAATGTATGACTATATTTGACGACATAAAATCTATATATTTTTCACCACTGGAATTTAGTGGAGCCGCATAGCCCCTCTGCTCCTGTCTGCATCGTGCCATCCTGTGGCCTTTCCTATCGTGTCTTGTGTTTTGGTGGCCGTGGTTGGGGCCGGGGCCGTGGTCCACTCTGGCCCTGTACTGGAGAAGCCACTTGTGAAGGGCTGAGCTATGTGCAGACCCAAGGCCTGGGGAGGGAAGGGGAGGGGGACTCTGCCACCCTCTACCCTGCTCTGGCCCTGCCTGTGCATGTCATCAGGGGCCCTAGCCCACAGTGTTGAAGGTCCTTCTCTTTTGAGGGTGTCTGGTGAGGCCTTCAGGAGGCTTCTCTTCAGCTTGTCAGTGTAGGAGGTGGCTCACTGCCCCAACCCCGGGACAGAGCTGGGACCACTTTGGTCGGGTGTCCCAGGCCAGGCCAGGCCCCGCCATGTGTACTTGTGTGTGTGCTCTGTATCTGCATCTATGCAAAGGGGGCTGCGCTGCCTGGGCAGCTCCGGTGGCAGAGGCTGGCCTGCTGGCTCAGGATGCAAGCCCTGACTATGCAATGGCACTGGGTGTGGGGCTGGGGGCCAGGCGAGGAGCTGGGCCGCCTGTTGAGAGTGCTCACCCTCCAAAGCTCCCCTTTCCTTCCTGCTTAGTACCTCCTCCTGGTGGACTGTGACCTTTTCTTCCTGACCTGGCATCTGGAGCAGAACTCTTTGGGGGCCTCTCATCTCAGCCTCCAGCCAGAGCTGATTAAGTCCTGAGGCACCTGGAGCTGGTCCCTTGGAGCCAAGTGGCCAGCAATGGCTTCTCCTTAGTTCTAGGACCGGGGGCCAGAGTGGCCCAGGCTCCGGCAGGAATGGGTATCTAGGGCTGGACATCTGCGGAGAGCTGGCCTCCGGCAGAGGGTACCAAAAATGTCTCCCAGGGAGTAACTTAGCTTTTCACCGAAACACCCTTCCTAATTGCCACGAGCACAGGGGCATCTGGCAGCGCCTTGGGGAGGGGCAGGGCAGATTGCAAGGTTCTAGGGCAAAAGCCTACTGAGGTGCCTCTGCCCGGTGAACTGTGAACCCCTCTCTGGCCTAGGGGGTAACACAAATGAGTCACAGTGCACTCCTACATTAGCCCGTCCCCTAAGCAAGAATCCACGGGGACTGGGGAGGGGGGAGGGCGGGGAGGGGCCTTCACTCTTGTCTTGTTTGTCCTTTGATTCAGACAGAGCTGTACCTGCAGCAGACAGCTCTGAATTAAAGCATGAAAACACAGCAAGACCCTTCTTTATAGTGTGTCTTTTCTCTGAGGTGGGGGGAACTCGGACTTTGCTCACCATGTTCGCAGAGAGAAAAGCCGACCAGACAGAGCTCTCTCCCAATGTCCAGCCACGTGCTGGTTCCAGCTCTGCCACGCATCTGCGTGGATCTGCGGCTTCACGTGCCCTCCTCTCTCCACTGGGTCGGCAAGGAAGCTAGACCTGCCTCCCCTCAGCCTTGAGGGTCAGACCTGCTGGGCACTTCAGGAATGTCACATTGCATCCTCCCCAACCCCCTCCCAAGTGGGTTCTTATTCCCATTTTGCAGATGCAGAAACAGACCGAGGTCACTCAGCAGTGGAATGCTCCAAAGCTGTCTCCCCATCAGACCTGCTGCCTCTGCAGACCTCAAACTGTCCCCACTACTGTAGCTGTCCCTGTGTACAGCTGGCAGGGCAGCATCTCACCGCGGCACAGCCATGTCACTGCTCCCAGAGGGAACGCGTAGGAAGGCCTTGGTCTCACCACTGCTAAACAGAGTCAGCCTTGGCATGTCATGGGACCAAGGATGACCTTTGAGGAAGGGGCTTTACTTAAAATCATATCTTTATTCCAAAGACAGTCAAGAGTTATAGCTGCGTACAGTGTGTGACAAAGATCAAGTAAAGGCACAAGGAGATAGTCTCACCAAGAATGTATTTCTGTTCTCTCAAAACCTGTCACCGTTGTCCTGGTAGAGGCAAACAGCCAGAAAGGGGCCCAGCTGCAACTCTAAGATGTGTTTGGCTGGCCCTAAGTGTGCCCAGCATTTCAATGAGCACAGAGTCTCTGAGCCTGCAGGTCCTGCACCAGCCGTAGCCCAGTCAAGAGCTCTGAGGCTCCAAGGAGGCCTGTGTGTGTAAATGACAAATCCCTGCCATTCCATGTCCACTCTGCCTGGAATGCCCCCTCTCCCCTCCCCCCGCAGCAGCCCCCCCAGGCACACAACCCCAGGCAGTGAGCCAGCTGCACCCTGTCATCCCAGGACACCGCCCTTTCCTGCAGAAGGATGAGAAAGGGCGAGAGGCCCGAGCTGCCCCTCTGTAGCCTCAGACATCTGGGATGGAGTGGTCCATGGTGTGCTGGAGCAGGCTCGGGGACAACCTGGGTATGGAAATGATGACAGTGGTCAAAACTGACAATGTCTTCTCCCTTGAGGACTGTGCCTCCCCATATGGGCTTTCAATTCCTAAGACTTTCAAATCACCCAAAGTCACCAACAACCTTAAAGGGGCCAGGGCAAAGGGGAGGCCAGGGCAGGCTGCTGGGGGCGGCCAGGCCTGTCTGAGCCCAGGTGTGCCCTGGGAGGTGGAGAGGGAGGAGGGAAGGCAGGGAGGACGCAGTCTTACTTTTTGACCATGTGCTCGTAGATCATGGTGGGGATGATGGTCAGGGTGATGACTTTCCCGGCCATGGCCAGGATCTCCCCGATCTTTTTGTCCTGGAAACAAGGCAAGTGAGTGGTCACCCTGTGGGCACCTCTGTGCAGGGGTCAGGGTGGCCGCTGCTAGAGGCAGCCGACTGACACCTGACTGCAGGCGCAGGGCTGCCTCAGACCTGAGCCTGCCAGGGCAGGGTCCCAGGCAGCCCTCCAGGTAAGTGTTGGTTGAGCAAGAGCATCAGCCTCTGGGCCACTCCCCACCCTCTTGAAGGCTAGTTGTATGAGGCTCCTTGGGTGGTTCTTAGGCTGGGTTCTCTAGAGAAGCAAAACCAGTGAAGTGTATACATATATATCAATAGAGATTTATCTCAAGGAAATGGCTCACATGGTTGTAGAGGCTGGCAAGTCCCAAGTCCATGGGTCAAGTGTCAGGCTGGAGGCTTCTCCTGACTCACGTAGCTGCAGGGGCTGACGAACCCAAGACTGGCAGGTCAGATGGCAGGCCGCTGGTTCACAGGCTTTGGAGGCCAACGAATCGCAAGATTGGCAGGCAATACAGCAGGATGCTGGCTCAAGTCCCAAGAACCGGAGGTCAGATGATGATGAGCCAGATGCAGGATCCAGAGCGAGCAAAAGCCAGCGAGCTTTGCCAGAACATCCACATATATTGGATGCAGGCCACACCCCCAAGGAAACTCCTTTTCAACTGAACGGCTGATCACATCAGATCACATCATAGAGGTGATTACATTATATCACAAAATGGAGGATAACTACATCATTACATAACTGCCAAACCACTAAGAATCATGACCCAGCCAAGTTGACACACAACCTTAACCATCACAGGTGGGCTGACACGTAACAGGGCCTCATGAAGGTTACTCTCCTTCTCCTTCTCCTTCCCCTAAAGCATTCCCAGAGCCTCATGAGGCCCGCATTTTCTATCCCAGATCCCTGGCCCCAAATAAGTTCAGGTTCTGGCCCCAAAGCACAAGCGAGACAGGAAGCACAACCACCCACTCTCCGGGCACTGTCAGCCAGCCAGCCTGAGCCAGGCCTCACATGGGACCTCTTTCTCTTACATCTTGGAGATCCATGAAAAGAGAAAGGCCTGCAGAAACCACTCAGATCATGGGGAGAGCCAGGAACTAAGTCTTTAAGCAAAGTGTGTTGGTGTCTAAACACTAAAACTGTGGCCATACAAGAGCCTTGGCCCCTTCCTCAGAACCTAGTGACCTTCACCTTACACATACATCTTACTTGCTTATGTGTTTTCTTAGCTGCTCCAAAATAAATGGGAGAGATGTGTTAGACAGGATTAGTGATGACCACAGGGAAGAAACAGATAATCTTTGAAAAGATAAATGAACTCAAGAAGCATAGCTCTCTGGAGCCCTCAGTAAAGGGACAAGCCCAGTCCCTAAGGACTTCACAGCGCCACGGTTTGGTCAACACCTCGAGCCATCAGTGAGGATGACAGCATCTGCAGCACATTTTAGAATGACTGCTCTCCAGAACAGTGAAGATGAAAGAGGGGTGAATTTGCGCCACATCAGGAAAATCCAGCTGCTCACGACGCGGTTCCCTTCCGATGACTGTGGTAAGTCAGTTCTCATGTCAGTCAAATACGTCATTTTTTTTTTTTTTAGTTTTCATTATTACTGCCTTTTATGATCAGTATCTTTATAAATGCTGTCTTTATTTGTCTTTGGAGGTTGGAAACATTACATATAAACTTACAGCTATGATGACATTAGCAAATACACACTGCGACACTGTATGTAGTACATATTACTAACGATAAGATGTACCAAAAAAAAAGGGACAGTTGTAAGCGCGATTCCTCGTAATTCAATTAAGTCGTAAACTGGGGACTACCTGTATCGTTATTGTTGTATCTACTTCTTAAGTAAGATGAGTATCCTTTAGATTGTCATGCTTGATCCCAGGGGAAGGGAGAAGATGCAGCAGGAGCGATCTTAGACATTAGGAAGAACCCCCGGATCACAGTGATCATGAGCCACCAGAACAAGCCTTCAAGGAGGGTGGGGAAGACTGACAAGCACTGAGAATCAGACCATGTGCGAAAGGAATGGTTTGGGGAGGGCCCTCATGGGGAAGGAGGCCTGTGCCAGCTGTGGAGTGAGGTGCCTCTGCCCAGGCCACCTCTGGGAGACTGAGGGCTCTCAGCCTAAAGCACAACTGGGACCGAGAACTGCTCTTCGGTTTAAGTGGCATGAAGTCAGGATAAAACCACCGAACCGAACGCCGTGTGACTCATCATCGTCCAAGGTCCAGGAGGCAGCAGGAGTCATCGCAAAGGCACCCACACAATCCATATGCACAGCACCATTCCTAGAGTACTCGCTCCTTCTTGTATGTTAAAGGAAAAACTCGCCCACACCACCCAAACTCACTGCCAACAAGTTGATTCTGACTCATAGCGACCCTGTAGGACAGAGTAGAATTGCCCCATAGGATTTCCAAGGCTGTAAATCATTACAGGAGCAGACTGCCACATCATTCCTCCACAGAGCGGCTGGTGGGTTTGAACTGCTCACCATTTGGTTGGCAGCTGAGCGCTTTAACCACTGTGCCACCAGGGCTCCTTTCACCCCACACACCTGCCTTGAAAAATGAACGAAGGCCAGAGATGGGTCTTCAAATAACCATTTAAAAAATATTCTTACTACCCGAACGTGATTCAGTGTGCAAACAAGTGCCACGCAGAGTGAGGAGGCATCAATGCAGCCAGAAGCCACCTGGGTCCCCGCGTCCTCACCTGGGTGCACACGTGCTTACACACACCATCGCACCCCCTCCTTCTGTCATACCGCTGGCCTCTATATGTTAGTGACAGTAAAACTAGTTGCCCTTGAGTCGACTTTGACCCCATGCGTGTCAGAGTTGAACTGTGCGCTGTAGGATTTTCAATGGCTGATTTTTTAGAAGTAGATCACCAGGCCTTTCTTTCGAGGCACCTTGGAGTGGACTCCAACCTCCAGCCTCTCGGTTAGCAGCTGAGCCCATTAACCATTTGCACCACCCAAGGTCTCCATAAGTGACAGTAGCCAATATTTACTGAGCATTTACTATGTGCCTGGCACTGTGCTTGGAGCTCTTTGTACATTGTCTCATTGAATCTTCCCAACAAGCTTAGGATGAGGAGATTGAGGCTCAGAGGGGGCAGCAGCCCGCACATGGACTTGATCCTTCCCATCCCCCAGCAGAACCTCTCAGCCCTGGAATCTTGGCCACTGCCTACCTTCAGCCCAATGACGTTCTGCCCGTTCACCTCGCAGATGTAGTGGTTGGTGAGCAGCCCGTTGTGGGCCGCTGAGCTCCCTTTGACCACAGAGATGATCTTCCCATTCTTGATGAAGAAGCCGACCTGGCCCGTGCTGTCCTTGTGCATGATGACAGTCCGCTGGAACGGCCTGACCGGGAGGGACAGTGAGCTGGGCTTGGGCACCGGGCTGGGGTTGGACAGAGAGGCTCCGGCGGCCTGGCTGCTCACCTGTCCCGAACGATCATGATGATCTTCTCCGCTGACGCCTTCTTCACCACCCGGTGGGCTTTGTCTGTGCTCCAGCCGGCACAGTCGCGCCCATCGATCTGCAGAATCTGGTCCCCGAAGCGCAGCCCCACGAGGGATGCAGGGGTGTTGGCCTGGACCAGCTGCACAAAGATGCCCTGGGGGAGGCAGGCCCTGAGTCCGCTCGCCGTGCCCCAGCCCTGACTCTAGTTCATCCTCCCACTGTCTTTTTCCTCCTGGTGCTTTGGGGGCCTACAGAGTATCAGAACTACTGCTCTTCACTGCAGGTACAACAGCAGGGACCAGTTTCCTGAAAAGACAACGCTCCAGGCCACGTGGCTAGGAGGTGCTGTGTCTGGGTTTCAACACTGGCTAGAGGCTGCACCCCTAACCTCTACGCTGCCCTGCCTCTCATAAAGGCATTCAGCTATCACTGCCTTCTACTGTCTATACAAGCTGGTCGCCAAATGCCTTTGAGTTGGTAGAAGTGGGGGAGCTCTAAGCGACAGGAGCCTACCGAGGGGAAGGTGAGCGGTCCCTGCGACAACCTAGCACCAGCCCTGGGGCTTTGGGGGCGGGAAGAGCCTGAGCTTAGGGATCAGGAGGAGCTCGGTTCAGGCCCCCTATCTGCACCTTTCTGTGGACTGGGACCGCTCGCCCCGAGCCCGGGGAGGGGAAGACGCCCAACCCCACGCCATCCAATGTGCGCAGTCGCCTCTCGGGTTGCTAGGCGACTGTGTGGGGAGCGCGTCCCGCTCGGGCTGTGGGCGCAGCCCACCGCGATGCGCTTGCCCCGTAAGCCCCCTTGTCCCGTCCTGCCCCGCCGTACCTTGTCGATGGCCCGCAACCGCAACCCAGTTCTGCCCCGCTCGTCCTTGCACAGGTGGATCTCGCGCACCCCGGACTTGATCTCCGCACGCCGCGCACCCAGGCTATCTCCGGACACCGGCGCCACCACCATGCCTAGCGACGGGCCCGAGGCCGCTGTCTGCAGACACCAGTGGAAAAGGGTCAGCCTGGGCCTCTGGGGCCTCGTGCGGCATGTCTACCGCAGTGGGTGTAGAGAGGGAGGAGGGATGGAGAGGATCCTAGGCTCCTGCCCCACCCCCTTCTACTGTCCCACCACCCCCACCACACACTTCTCCAGTTGCGGAAAGGGGACGCGGCTCCAGGAGGCCACTAGGGGGCGACAAAGCCAGGCCCCTAGAAATAGGCACTCCAGAAAACAGTTTGACAATTTCTTAAAAACACTAAAGATACACTTATCATGTGACCCAAAATTGCACTCTTGGGCATTTATCCCAGAGAAATTAAAACTTACGTCTTCACAAAAACCCGTACAGGGACATCTATAAGACCTTTATTCGTAATAGACTAAAAACTGGCAAAATGTCCCTCAATTGCAGTACATCCATACCATGGAACACTACTCGGTAATAAAAAGGAAAGAACTGTTGTGACACATAACAAGTTGGGTGGGTCTTTAGGGCATCATACTGAGCCAAAAAAAAAAAAAAATCCAATCTCAAAAGGTCACATACTGTATGATTCCACTTATATAACATTCTGAAATTGCAAAATCATAGAGACGGAAAACAGATTAATGAGTCAGGGGTTAACGGTGTGGATGGGTCTGGCTACAAAAAGGTGGCATGAAGGAGATCTTTGAGTTGATAGGATAGTTCTGTATCTTGACGTCGGTGGTTACATGAGTCTATACAAGTGATGACAACTATACACACACATTGTACCAATGAAAATTCCTGGGTTTGATATTATATTAGTGGTTAAAGAGCTTGACTGCTAACCAAAAGGTCAGCAGTTTGAACCCATCAGCTGCTGCCTGGAAACCCTATGGGGCAGTTCTACTCTGTCCTATAGGGTCGCTATGAGTCGGAATCCACTCATTGGCAATGGGTTTGGGTTTTTTTAATTTGTTTTATGTAAAATGTAATCATTGGGGGAAACTGAGTGAAGGGTACAAAGGACTTCTCTGTACTATCATTGCAACTTCCTGTGAATCTATGATTGTTTCAAGATAAAAAGTTAAAAACTAATGAAAAATTTTAAAACTATAAACATTCATGTATCTATCAAAATTTGACTGCATTTATGTTTTAATAATTGGAACAAGTAATGATTAAATCACCTGATTAAAATTGAACTATACACAACATGATCTCCTTCTCTTCATGTTTGTGTTTCACAGCGTAAAGAGGGTCATTTTGCAAAAACACCCAGAGCATCGTGTTTTTCTCAGGGTCCCACATGACCTCATCCTTGGCTATCTTCTCCTGTTGGGTTGCTAACCAGTCTGGCCCTGGGAGATCCTCATTTGTCAGTGGATACGTACGTGGCTGTGGCAATCCTCCATCAACACTTCCATCAACTGCATGAAATTCTCCAGCCTTAGCAAGGTTTGCAGTTGCACTTTGGTTATAATTCAGTCAGGGAGAGGCTGGCAGACAAAGACGCTGACACATGGCCCCCCAGGGATGCTAGAACTAATTAGGAGGGGTTTGAGTGGCAACTGCTTTTAGAAGTGAAGACAATTTCAGTAGTGAATATTTCTGTGTTAGGGTCTTTTGCTCCCCTAAGCCATGAAGAGCGGGAACCAAGAAATATTATTTAATTTGGGGACAAGTGGATGACAAGCTCCTCCCCTCTCAGCTCTGCCTGTCCCTTGCAGCTGCTTTCAAGTCACAGGCAGTTCTCCAGTAGAAGCCCCCCAGGCTGAGGCTGGGTTAATGTCCTCCCTTCTCATCCACCAGGCTCAGGTCAGCATCCTGAAGCCAGAGGTCAAAGAGCAGACTCTGGCCCTCCAGCCCCAGGTCCACAGGAAGACAAGAAACCCCACTACTCTTTTAATGACAGCTCAAAATGAAAAGTGCCATTAAGAAACAGAGCCACAGTCAACAATTACTTTAAAACAAAAAAGAGAATGTAAGGAGGCAGGGAAACTAGATTAATGAAAATAGAACAACCAGAACAGAAATATTGAGAACGTTCACCACTGTGAAGAATGTAACCAATATCACTGAACAATTTGTGTAGAAATTGTTGAAGGGGAACCTAAACTGCTGTGTAAACACAAAAAACACAATAAAATATTATTTAAAAAAGAAACAGAGCCACAGAATGCTGGGGACAGAGGGGATTCCAGCACAGAGGAAAAGGAAGTCTGTTTAAACGTCAGGACCAAGAAGGAGGAAGAGTTGGGATATTCTGTGCCCATGTTAGGCAAGAGACAAACACATACACTGTCACCCTCTGGAATTTGAGGCAGGTTCTGCTGAACTTCTTGACTGGAGAGGGAAAGGCCCATATAGCTTCCCAATTCTGCCAGGTTGGGATACAAAACTGATTGGGAAGGGAAGAAAGAAAGAAGACAGGTGTTATTGCGGGCACAGGCTTACCTCTGCCTTCTGGCTCTCTGTGCTCACGGAGGCTGTCGGCCTCATTTTTGTTAAGAAACACCAGTACCAGTTGCTGTGAAGTCAACTCTAACTCATGGCAACTTCACATGTGTCAGAGTAGAACTGTGCTCCATAGGGTTTTCAATGGCTGATTTTTTCAAAGTATATCACCAGATCTTTCTTCCAAGGTTTCTCTGGGTGGACTCGAACTTCCAAACTGAGCACGTTAACTGATGGCACCACCCAGACGCTCCTCATTAAGAGACAGGGCCTAGGGACACTGTTTATTCCCAGGAATGCAGTGTATCCTGAGAATACTGTGTATATCCAAACACTGTGTACCCTTGGGAATGCTCATGTCCTGGAGAATGCTGTGAGTGCCCAGGACCACAGGAGCTGTGGGAGAGAGGCAGGACCACTTGCCATTGATGTGGGTCCTCTCCTCGGAAGGTCTGAGGTACAGGGGTCTGCCTTTCTCCCAGAGGGAGCATGGGACATGGAGCCCCTCATGTATCACTTGTGATATTCAACTTAACTGACTTTGTCAATGGCCAGCTGGTGCTGGGGCCACGAGGCTCTGCTCTTAAGGACTCCACAGGCTGCCGGGGAGGCGGATAGCTCAGGCGGGAGGAACATGCACAGTGAGGTGGGAAAGAGTGCGGACTTTGCAGCTGGGCCTGAGTTCAAGTCTGCTACCACAGCACCTGAATCAAGACTACCACGGACAATTCTAGGGACCACCACTCACATCCTGGTCTCCCTACGCAGCCTCAGTGAGGTGGCCCTAAATCAGGGTGGCCACTGCCCTCACTGAGCCTCAGTTTGCTCAGCGACCTCCTCAGAGGGTTGTAGTGGAGGTGAAATGGGCACGCGCAGTGGCAGGCGAGTGAGAACGTGGGGAAAGGCCAAGGTGAGAACTCGGGGAAAGGCCAAGGT